AGTGACCATATACATCCTATGTGAGTTTTTGAGCCGATTGAAAGTGTGTGCATTTTTCATACACTCCTATTCTTTCATGTGTGATGAACTTATGTGAGATACATCTCTAGAACTTGCGTAACGATCTTTCGAAATGTTTGTCATTGATTGCTTGAACTTGGAAATGATAGAGGCATTAGGTTTACCACTATGGCCCAAATAACCATGTTTCCCAAAGAAAAATGATATCATTAGATTGCCAATTTGAGCCGTCTTTGTTGAGCCTTTTATTTCTTATCACCAGATATGTCTACCCTTATATCTGAAACATTTTTCCTTACCCTTTCCAAGCAAGCTAGTGAGCAATGTGAGATTGTCTTATGAGAAATGTTTGTGAAGTACTTTGAAGGTGTTTGGCAAAAGAATAAGTGTGGGGGTATTTCATGTTTGTATTTAAAAAAAAAAAAAAAAAAAAAAAAAAAAAAAGAAGAAAAGAAAAGAAAAAGAAAGATTATATACAAAGAAAATAAAAAGTTTTTAAAGTTTCAGTTTAAGGGTGTGATTGGAGGTATCAGAAGAATCGTTGGAGAGCTTGAATTCTTATAAATCTAAACAAAAGAATTGCTTGCAATGTAGCTTGGAACTTGTGTTTTCCTATTCTTTCGTTTCAATAACCCTATCCCTAAGCCTCATTACATCCAATAAAAGTCCTCTTGATTTAAGTTTTGCAATTATGATTGTGGAGAAGTGATCTTTATGCAAGCTTATGGTAGAAATTTCACATTTGTTTCTTTGAGCGAAACACATTAAAACTAAACACATGTGTGATTGAGTGTATATCCCGTGAGAATGTCGCTAGTTTGCATATGATGATTTTAAAAATAAAAACTTGAAATTGCATTAGCATGGACTATCTCACACACTACACTTCAAGGATGATTCAAAGATTACTGCTAATATTTGAATAAGGAAGATGAACTTGGATTAGTTCCTTGATGCTAACTATGGTTCTTGATGATTTGTTTTCTTAAAAGAATTTCTATGAGGGTCACATAGGGGGAAGCTAATGTTTTTCATGTTATTACTTTTTCATGTTTTCTTTGTTTTGCTCGAGGACTAGCAAAAGTTAAGTGTGGGGGTATTTGATCGGATCATATTTATATATATTTTTACTTTAAATTCACTCGTCTTTTCTTAGTTAGTTCCTTACATTTTTGAGCTATTTACGTTATTTTTGTGTTTATAGGATTTGTTATGCAAAGAAAATAAAAATAGCACAAATGAGTTTTAAATAATAAATTCGTCAAAAATTGCTCTAGTCGTTCTCATTCTGTCATGGATTATTGGTAGAATTATGTCACGGCATAAGCAAAAGAAATGGAGAGAGTCGGTCAATGAGGGAGCAAGAGAGCATCATGATTTATATTTTTTTTACCTCGTTGACTCCCATATTCTTCACTTCTGAAAACAACAGGAAGTTGCTTTGCAGCTGGAAAGAAAGGAATCCAAGGTGGAAACGTGAGGAGTGGAAGGCAGGAGTATGCGGGAAAAGATGGAATAGAAAAAACAGAAAACAAAAAGGCAGATGCTGCTTTGGCAGCAGCGGGGCGCATAAAATAAGGAGTGAGGACGTGCAGCACAGGGCCAGCGAAGGAAAGAGAGCTGCTTTGCAGCTGGGGGAATAATTTTAGAAAGAAGAAAGAAAAAGGTTGCCTTGGCAGCTGGAAAGAAGAAGAATAAAAACAGCTGCCCTTGGCAGCTGGGGGCAGCGTGAAAGTGAAGCTAAGGGGGAGAGCTGCCTTGGGGCAGCGGGAGAAATAGAGAGAGACTTGCGAGGAGCTGCGGGAAAGAAGAAGTGAGGAGAGTCAGCACGCAGGTGAGCAGCACGGAAGGAAGTCAGCGTGAGCAATGGGCAGAGTGGCAGAGAGTGCAGAAACTGAAGCATCAGAGCACAGTGAGCAGAAGGCTTCAATCTATTTTCTCGGTTTAATTTTTCCAAACTTCTCTTTTATTTCTGTTTTTAATAATGTGTAAATAAATTTATGTTGGTTAGAGGTTAATTCGAAACCATGAATATATTTGTAATATGAATTGATTACCTTCGGTTGTGATTTCATAAGTTGTGATTTCAATTTACTTATCCGTTCGTATAAAAACTGATTTGTGTATGTTGGTTGAGAGTGCACGCTTAATTTACATGCATGAATTTGATGCTAGAATATAAGTGAATTTCACCTAATCGTTATGAACTTATTTTCACAAGTAGTAAAGGTTGCTAGTCACAATCACGTTAAGTAAATTCTTGGCAAGAGTATCATGCTTTTCATAGTTACGAATGCCTCGTCAATGCTTATAGTTTTCACAAAGTTTAATGATCTTTGATTGTATCTCTATTGTGCTTTTCACGTAGGGGATTTTTGAAGAATGTTTTGAATTGTTGTATGCGTTTTCCGTCCAATTCAATAACTTAAGGAAAACTTGAAGATTAAAAAAAGTGCTGTTCACGGTTTAATCTGGAGTATTGAGATTCACAACTTATTGAAAGAACAACTGAAAATTAATTTAGGTTGCATATGTGTCATGTGTGGAGAAGAACCCTCTAGCTAGTCCGTCATTTATCATTTTACCTTAATTTTATGTTTTTGTCAATTCTGTAATTTAATTAAGTTTAATTTACTTTTCATCAAAACCAAACACCCATCCATTATTAAATTATATTATTTAGTTAGTTTTCTTTATTGTTAGTCTTTTAATTTAATTTCCGTCCATTTCAGTTCCTAGTGTTTAATTTAATTGTTTTCATTATTTTGAGTCATTTTAAGTGTGTTTCGAGTTATTAGAGTTTTTAGCCTAGTTTTGTGTCCTTGAGTCTTATTTAATATTTTTAAATTAATTTACAATAGATTAGCAATCCCTCCTAATCCCCGGCCTAGAACGATACCCTACTTACATATATACTACAATTGTCAAAAAGAGGGTTTAATTTGTGTGCTTATATATTTCGCATCATGGGTGAAAAAAGCTGAAAACGTGAAGCAGTAAAAATGAGTTTTAAAAAAAAAGCTGAAAACGTGAAGCAACATACATGTTGGATTATGATTTTTTGTTAAACATTGTATTATGATTTCTTGTTAAATGTTGGATTATATGTTTAAGATCAAGTTTATAAATATTTTTCTTTTAAAAATAAATTATATTTAGTAATTCACCTTTATTTATTAAAAAAATTAAATTAATGGCACATCTAGCATACCCTTTTTGGTTATTTCACAAAGTCACAGCTATTTTACATAAAAGTTTACCAAACACTAATATGTTTTTTTTTTCCAAAAGTACTTTTACAAAAAAGTTTACCAAACACTCAGCTGCTTTATTTCACAGCTGCTTATTCTTTTTTTTAAAGCACATCAATACCAAATCAGCCCTAAGTAAAATGAGATTTATTTGCTACTTTATTTAAAAACAAAAAGGGAGAAAGTTTGGGTCCTGACCGGTCAGGAGCCAATACACTGACTGTTGCACGTGGCCCAACTAGATAACGACAACTGTCCATTTTAATTCTCTAAACTCATAAGCAAACACCTCTATTTTTCTAACCAAACATCATCTTCTCTCTCGCCAAAAATCTCCAGCCACCGTCCTCTCCCACCCAACCCAATCACTTGCATCATTCACCGTCCGCTCCTACTGGCCAAACGTCCTTCATTGGAGTTCATCTCAAACTCCGAATCAGACCATGATACCAAATTGATGACAAATCCTCCATTGACGACATTCGTGTCTCTTCCTCCTGCCTCTTTCCCCAACCCCAATCCACCATTTTTTTTTCGATGCAACCATGGCAGCAAGGAGAGAAAGGTGGCGTGAGTCGCGACCTGTGAATGGGTAGGTGCAAACGTCATTCCATGGCGAAAGAGAGGGTTGGATTATGAGTGGGCAAGGCTGGGTTCGACGAAAGATGTTTTGGTGGAGGCAAACAGCAACATGGTCTTAGGAGGAGAGAATGGCTGTTTGGTTATACATTTAGAGAAAGTATTGGTTGACATGTGTCTTTTATTTGTTGGTGGCCACTGGCCAGTAAAACTATACCCTAACCAGTCAGTGTCTAAGTATTATCCTAAAAGAAATATAAAAATATTGTTTCAACAGGTTAATTAAATGATTAGCTATCTTAACTTTGTTTAACTTGTTGCATCGGCTACCTCTTAATTTAGGGTTTTATTTCATTTTAGGGTAAATCGCCAAAATGGTCCCTGAGATTTGCATAACTCATTACTTTGATCCTTAAGATTCCAAATCGATAAAAGTGGTTCTTGAAATTGTCCACCATCCATCATTTTGGTCATTCCATAAAAAACTCCGTTAAGTGTCCCGGAGCTCTTGGCAGGAAGTTTAGACAATTTTCAAAGCTTCGTAACTTAATCGTTTCTTAAAAAAATTCAACCCATAATATATAAAAATGAAGATAGGAAAGTGTAGAATAAGATTATACATATTTCGAAGCCCAATGGTTGACGGAGATTGCCGGAAAATAACCTTAAAGTTGACTGGTCCGAATGAAAACTTGAAAACTCGTCGGAAACTGGGTAAACTTTAAACGTTCATAACTTCTTCAATACTCAACGAAATCAAGTGATTCAAAAACGAAAATATTATATATATATTATTTTTTATTTTTTTAACAAACAATATTATCTACATTATAGGGTTGAGAGGGTGAGTTAAGCCCACAATAGGCTAACAATAATATGGTTCAAATTCTTCTTTGTCAAGAATCACCTAAATTCTCTCAAACAAGTGAAGATGAATACTACTAGATCGTAGTACTAAGTAGCTGAGTTTGCTACTATTATAACCATGAAAAGAGAAACGAGGGTATTTCAGTAAAATGGGATCCCAATCATAATTTAGAGGTGTTCAAATCACAACACAAAACAAAGTCATTGCCGTGTTTGACCCCAAAAGTTGTCGCCCAAAAATATTTAATTAAAACAAATATATAATATTTACCACTAAATATCGTTTTATTAATTTCTACATAACACACGCGCACACAGTATAGAGAAAAATCAATCAAATCTCGGGGACTCACAAAAGTTGGATTTTTGATTCGTTTTTCCATTTCCCGATTCAGTCTTCAATACCCAAGTCTCCAAAATTTTCGTTTGATCTCTCCGTTTCCTGTTCTGGGTTGTTTGGTTTGTTCAATTTTATCTAGAAAATCCGACTATTTTCTCCCCGGGAGTCGGAAGTCCGATGAAAAACGGCGAGTTCCGGTGAAAGAGAGAAGCGGAGATGAGGGGGGTTAATGGAGACTCGAGAACTGGGAACACCACTTTGGAGACTATAAACGCAGCTGCCACCGCGATCGCAGCCGCGGAGAACCGTGCGCCTCACGCCACCGTTCAGGTAATTTTTTCACAAAATGTTATTTTTGTTGGTTTTTATTGATTCTGAATATGTTGATTGGACTTGGTTTGGAAGGCATTTCAAGTTGTTAATCTTTAGTCCTGGTAAATTTTAAAATTTTATTTTAATCCATGTTTTTATGAGAGAGATTTAAGATCCAGTTGTGTTATGTGAATCATTGTTCTTGTTGGTTATGTAAATTTGGTTTCTTTTTTATAAATTGGGTGTTTTTTAAATCCATTGGAGCTGCCTTTTTGGAAAATTTCTGGTCTGGAAAGTGCTTTTGGAAGTGGAAATCTCCATAGAATTTCATAGGAGTTGACCTGCTTTTAGCAAAAGCATGGAGCTTTGGTTACAAAATTTTAGAAATGATAAGATATTTTCTTGGGATTATTGAGTGATTTTCATTTGGTCTCGCTTGCGGCCAAATGAATAAAAAAACAAACAAACAAACAAAAAGGAAGAAAAAGTTTCCTTCTGAATTATAATTTGTCATTGTAGTGGATAGGGAGTCTCAGTTTTAAGTTTTAACTACTAAGTATTGAGCTTCCGCGGTGGAAATGATTCAACATTGACAGAAGGCGAGGGAGGGAGAAAGCTATCGTGGTTTATACAAAAGGTATATGGAAAGAGAAAGAATGAATGATGAATAAATGAGTTAAGCGTGAAATGGACGTGCGTCTTCTCTTGTTAATAAAAGCAGACTCCTAAGGCTAATAGTGAAAAAGTGACCACTTATGCTTATTCAAGCTAATTTATTTAAGTTGAGAATATAATTTGTTCTTTGGTAACGCAGCAGCTGTTTGGATTCAGCATCCCAAACTGATATGATGTAATAGACTCAAATTGTTCGTAACTATCCGTAGTGTGGAAAGACAACTAATGCTGTTTTTATTGTATTAAAGGTCCGTTTTAATCATGAATTTGGTTTAATGCAGAAGAGAGGATGGGGGAGTTGCCTGAGCACATATTGGTGTTTTGGATTTCAAAGACACAGAAAGAGAATTGGGCACATTGTTCCAGAAACAACGGATACTGGAGGTCATGCTCCAAGAGCGGAAAGTTCAATCCAGGCACCTTCAATTGTATTTCCCTTTGTTGCGCCTCCATCCTCTCCTGCATCGTTTCTTCAATCAGAACCTCCTTCTGCCACACAATCACCAGCTGGTTTTTTCTCTCTTTCAGCCAGCATGTACTCCCCTGGGCCTGCCTCAATTTTTGCTATCGGTCCTTATGCTCACGAAAACCAGTTGGTCTCACCACCTGTTTTCTCAACCTTTACTACTGAACCATCAACTGCTCCCTTCACTCCTCCTCCCGAGTCTGTTCATTTGACTACACCTTCCTCGCCCGAGGTTCCATTTGCTCAGCTTCTTGATCCTCACTTCCGGAATGGTGAAGGCGGTCAGAGATTCCCATTATCTCACTATGAGTTTCCATCTTACCAACTTTACCCTGGAAGCCCAGTTGGTCAGCTTATATCGCCAAGCTCGGGCATCTCGGGTTCTGGTACTTCTTCTCCTTTCCCAGACCGTGACTTTGCTGTTGGTGGTCCTCACTTCCTGGAGTTCCGAGCAGGTGATCCTCCTAAGCTCTTGAACCTTGACATTCTCTCCACGCGTGATTGGGGTTCAAGACTAGGTTCTGGTTCTGTGACCCCTGATGGTGCAAGGTCAACAGCTTCTGATGGTTTCTCTCTAAAGCCTCACACCCCTGAGGTTGTATTAAATCCACGATCAAACAATAGAGGTCGGAATAATGGAATTGTGATCAACCATAGGGTCTCATTTGGGTTAAGTTCTGAAGCATTTGTAAGATGTGTGGAAAAGAAGACTCTGGCATTAGCTGAAGCTGCATCAACATCTATAGAAGAAGCAGAAAAGGCCCAGAGCGAAGAGGATCCTAGCAAAGCAGCGAGCAGTTCTGAGTGCCCTGCTCCTGAGACATCCAGTGAGGCACCAGAGACAGCAGTGGCCGACGAGGAGGCACAACTGCATCAGAAGCAGCGATCCATCACACTTGGTTCTAATAAGGAATTTAATTTTGACAATGCCGAAGGAGGAGATTCAGGCAGCTCTAATACTATTGGTTCCGACTGGTGGGCAAATGAGAAGGTTAGTCCGAAGGAAAATGGGCCACCAAAGAATTGGTCTTTCTTCCCTATGATGCAGCCGGGTGTTAGTTAACTAGTATGCATCTTGCTCAATGCCTCCCTATCCATGGAGCATCGGAGGTAAGGCATGGATTTTGGTTTTCAAAACCGGTTGACGCTTAGTGCCACAGCGCCTCAAATTACCGACAAATTTTGGGTTATAGATTGGGAAATCTGTAGATGATGACTGAGCCAGGTCTAAAGCTGTTCTTTTTGTACATGGTGACCTGGAATTCAAGCTCTAAAGACAGGTATGGATAGTATAAAACCACAGATTAGTGTCAGCTTTTGGATAGGTTCATGTGTTTTATGCATTATAAATTACAATACAAGTAGATAAGGATGATGATCCCATTAAATGAACGATAGTAGACTGCTAGTTGATGAAAGTTGTATCTTTGACTCATTTTCCTTATCACATTTCTTACAACTCTAGTTTTGAGTCTTTTTAACGTCGGTTCACTTGATGAGTGAGATACTAACATGATTTTGCTGGTGCATTCCTTCGGAATTAATTCGAGGGGAATTTAGTAGCAGCAATGTTCGGAATTAGTTTCCTCGAGAGAGTATATGGCTTTATGCGAATTAATCTGCATATCAATAGATTGATCCATACAGAAAACGTGTTCATTTGACACTCACAATTTGTATTTGCTGGAGAAATTGGTCGTTCGATTTCATTACGCTAATTTTGTTATATAATAATTCGTTGGCCAAACAAATCCAAATGGGACCGTTGACCACCTCGAGCAAATATTAAACATATGTATGGGGCCGAAGACCACTTAAACGTTAAAGGGCCCGTTTGGTAATAATTTGGTTCTTTCCATTTTTTGATAGTCTGTTTTTGCTCAACCCCTTCAACCCTGGTGGTAGTATTAGGCCATCTCTAACTGAAAGAGGGCCAGAGGGTTCTCTTTGGCCTTATAGCCCTCTAAGAAATTAATATTTTAATGAACAGTGCATGATCATATTTCTTACTATCTCTAACCGAGGGGTCAGAGGGTCATAGGCCAAACATAGCCATGTGAAAACCATCTCCAGTCGAAGGCCAAACATAATTTATTATTTAAATTTAAAAACTACAACAACTTAAATTTAAAATATTGTGAAGCATAGTTTTCCAAGATACGTTTTTAGAAGTTGAGCCTATGAATATGAACGTAAAACGTTAAATACATTTTTCCACCAGAGGCTTAAGCAAATTTAGATACATATTGAGATCTCTATAATTGACAAAGGCTTGGAGCTTGGGAAATCACATTTTCCCTTTGGCCTGACCCTCGGTTAGAGACAGTTTTCGTGTCATTTCAAGCTATTTTCGGCTCTTTGGTCCTCTGGCCGGATTGGTTGAAGATGACCTTACCCCCTTGATCTCTTGGGAAAGTGCAAAAACTCAAAACAAACAACCAAATGGATATAAGACAGACAACTCCCTATGCAGTAATAAGGATGCCTTCATTTTTCAAGTATGTCATCCTAAAACGTACTTTGATAATTTGATAGACAAATGACCTTGAAGCACGTTAATATGTTTTCCTTGAAGTGACATTTGCCCTCACTGTAATTTGAGTTTGCTAAAGGGTCTAAGTAAAATATTCAGAATACAACGAAGTTTGGAATTTTAGTTTGGCAAGAATTTAAATTCCCTTAGACTCTTCTAATAAGAAACTATATGATTTTGTTGGAGGAAGGAAAGGAGAAATGAAAGAAATGAAAGATTGAATTGGATGTTGATGATGGATTGTGAGGTGGTGTCACTACTAAAAATCTTTGCAAAACATACTGCTTTTGAAGTGTTCCCATATGGTTCATGTAATCATTAGTTTACTTGCAGGACGAAAAAACAAAAGAAAAGAAAACAAAGTGATCATTTATCATTTTGATGAATTATTCTACGAAATCATCAATTGTGTTATCTATGTACATGTTCTCTAAGGGCATATTTACACGTATGGCTAAATGATCTGTTTATTGGAAGTGAAGTAGATCTTGTGCGAGATGTGTTGACGAGATATGTTTTTGACATGAAGACTAAATCATTGAGATTATCTATGCCCGTAGAACCTTAAGCCAGATGCATTTTTAATTAATGCATATGGAAAGATGTAACGTTTATTCGTTCTATTTTTCTCGATATGTTGTTTCCAGCATATGGTTTATTCGTTCTAAGTTTTGGCTTCAAACTATAAGTTTTTTTCATATTTGTTTTTCTCTCCTCTAAGGGCATATTTACTTACATCGTATGGGTACGAGAAATAATGAGTATGAGAAGAATTGAAGAATAAGAATATAAGGAAAACTAATGAAAATGGCTTGAAAACTATGAGTTTTACTGATAAGAACAAAATAAAGGGTAAAGTGAATTGTACCATGATTTGACTTTTTAGTGTAAAAATATGAATTTTTGTTCAAGTGAACAGTACCGGAAGCTTTTCGTTAAAAGTTCCCAAGAATACATGGGTATGAGATAAACAACTCCTTCTATGGTGATGAGATATCCTCATTTTTCAGGTATGGCATGACTAAAATTTGAGTTTCCTAACGGGTCTAAAGTAAATCATTTTTAGTATATAACAAAGTTTGGAATTTTAGTTAGGCAAGAACTGAAATTTTCAGACTTTTCTAAAAAAGAAACTGTATAATTTTGTTGGAGGAGGGAAAGGAGAAATAAGAGATTGAATTGGATGTTGATGATATTTGGGTATTTATAGAAGAGAATGACTGACTACCATGTTGCGAAGCATTATGGTGCAGAGATAAGTGACTCTGTCTGGGTCGAAAGACCCCCCATCTTCGTTTGTTGGTATTCTGAACAAGGACGGACTACCATGTCCTCCTTGCTAGCTTTTGTTAGGAGTTTGTAAGACTATCTCCAACTGAAGGAGGGCCAGATGGCTCGTTTTAACCCTTTGACCCTCCAAGAAATTAATATTTTAATGAACATTGCAGGGCCATATTTCTTACTGTCTTCAACCGAGGGCCAGGCCAAACATAGCCCTGTCACAAAAAACCATCTCTAATCGAAGGCCAAAGGGCCATAGGGCCAAACATAATTTATTATTTTAATTGAATTGCTATGGTTACTTAAATTAAATTACCTCAATAATTTTATGTTATGAATTTTCAATAATTTTCATGTTGTTAAATGTTTTTAAAAATGTTGTTTAAGTTTCATGTTGTTAATTTTTTTATGTTGTTTAATGTTGTTTAATATTGTTTAATATTGTTTAATGTTGTTTCATGTTACTTAATATAAAAAAAAAATTGTTAAAAAAAAATCAAATATGACGTCAGCATGTGGCCTAGCCTGGGCCCGACATGTTGGCCCTTTGGCTCTTTTTTGTCTAGTGAGGTCCACGAGCCCTTTGGCTTGGCCCTCGGTTCGAGATGATCCAAGGGGAGGACCCTGGCCCTTCGTGTTGGGTCTCTATCCTTTCCCTTTATTTTCTCTTGTTCCTGTTGTTTCCAGTTAGCCTGCTATGGGCTCTCACATGTTCCTTTTGGCTGCGGCCCTAGTGACGAAGTTTCCAGTTCATTCAAAAAAAAAAAAAAAAAAAAAGAGAATGACAGCCATTCAGAAGGTTGAGATCCAATCAATTTGGGTGAAAGTGTGCATCCAAAAGCCATATTCGTTCATTAGATAGAAATTGACATAGCTTATTAAACGATATCTTTCTTCCAACATCTATTAAAGAAAATCACGTCTTTCTTCATGTGACTGTTAAGTGAAGAGTTATATCTCTTCCTATTTTGGCACGAAGAGTTATACCTCTTCCTTGCAGATGAAGATTTATATTGTTTTACTAGTTGACACATACAATTAGGGGTGGACTCAAAAAATCGAAAACCGAAAAAAAGGGATTGAACACCAAACCGAAATAAAAAAATTGAAAATAAAAAAAACCCGAACCGAACCGAACCTTACTAGTTCGGTTTCGGTTTTGGAGGTTTGGAAACTGACATACCTTAACCTCGATATCCCCAAATACCAGGATGGACATGTGCTGACCGACGCCCGAGGATGACGAAGCCATTTTAACATGCATGCAAGTGATAATGGTAAACGAAAGTAAATAAAATATGTAAATATAAAGAAATATGCAAATGCGGAAACATGTTTAGAACATATAACTAATCAATAATATTGTGAAAGAATTATTATAAAAAGGTATGAACAAAGGAATGAGTCCTACACTGAGAAGACTCGAAGATACCTATATGGGAGTGTCCTGATGCCGGGATCGTACGCCTCGATTATAAGTCCTTAAGGGGGCTCAAAACAAAACATGAGTTGACCATTGTTGATACACAAAATCAGTGAGGACTTTGGTATAACAGAGAGTGTTAAGTTTGTGACCTTCGCTAGATTGCTCCGGTCACTAGTGTGGATAAGTATGTAAATGGATAGGGACAGGGAAGTGGTTCACCGAGATTGTCTACGTCCACGGAGTAGAGGAGTTCTCATTAATTGTGAAGGGTTTATACAAGTACATAGGTTCAAGCTCTCTTTTAGTGAGTACTAGTGAATGATTTAGTACAAATGACATTAGGAAATATTGTGGGAGAATGATCTCCTTTTATAGAAGAGAGTTTCTAGCTTTGTTTTGACATTGACACGTGTCGTGTTGTGATTGGCTTCTGATTTTGACATGTGTTGCCTTATGATTAGCTTCTGATGTCGACACGTGTCGTGCTGTGATTGGCCTCCTGGTTGGAGGGAAACTCTTCTGGGTCCTTGACGGTATAACGTTGACTGGTGCTCGATAGTTTCGAGATTGGTCAAGTATGGTACAAACAGTGCTCCTTTAAGTTCCTGAGTGAGGGAAGCTCCTTGGTTGAGGACTTGCAAGATCCAAGCCGCTAAGTAATCACGAAACTTCTAAGTACCGAAGTGTGGTATCGTTTTCACTTGCCTTATCTGTCTTACAGGTAGATGTGACATCTTCTCTGGAAGTACTTTTCCTCCAACCAGGGGTGGTATCTTTAACCGGTGGAGATGCACAAGATAATGTTTCAATTTCACTTGAAGCTTACTTGTAGTTTCAAGCTTGGTCAAGCGCGATACAAACCATGTAGTAGGAGTCCCCCAAGTTGCTGAGCTAGGAGATCTGCCGAAAGAGGTGACATGCAAGATAAGCAATTAGAGCTCCTAGCAATCAGTCCCATATCAAAAGTTTGATTTCGAGTTCAGGCTGATTGTTCTCATTCTCCCTATCTTACAGGCAGCATAAAGGATAAAGAGAAGAAAAATGAGAAGAGATGATATGAGATACTTTTGCTTTGAAAAAGTAACTTTCCACATGCTTATTCTTGAACTAGGCTGGAGGGTTTTCTGGTTTCTTCCAGAGTATAAGATCGACTCAAGAATTTGAGGGTCAAAACAAGTCCATCAAATCAAGAGTGCATTCGACCTTGATGATATGGGATACTTTTGCTATTGACAAAGTAATAGATGAAAT